AATTTATAATTGATATTGTGTAACAGGAAGGAAAGGTCTAAAGGAGCAGGGGAAGTGGGAGGAGTAGGGAAAAGAAAAAACATGAGAAAAGGAAAAAAATGGAAACAAAGTCTTTGTAAATAGGGAAGGGTGGAGGGGGTGAAGGGAGAGCAGGGAAAGGGAAAAAAAATAAGAACCAAGAGACTCATGTAGTGGTACAAGATCCCAATGATGAATGTAACTGTATTGTATACCGAAAATGTACCAATAAACTTAGTGGGGGGAAAAAAAAGAACTGAGCCTTGGCCAACAAAGCCGCGGAGAAGGGCCTCTGGGTAGAATCGCATCTCTGTGTGCAGCCCTGGGCAGGGTGGGCACTTCCGCAGTTAACACCTAGTTAAGTAAACCTGAAGTGTGTTCCTCTGTGGGTTTTCATTAAAACCAAACGCTGTCTTGAGCATCTTTAGCTGAATTTTAAAATAGAGCAATTATGCAACTCTGCCAAACTTCCTCATCAGAATCTATTGGAAATGCAATTAGTTTTCCTCTGTGACCTGCAACCCAGTGTGATTTAATTTTCATGTGTGTTCTTCTAAATCACTACTGATGAGGGGGCTTTTCTGCCTGTGCCTCCCACCTCCAGAAACTCTTGTCAGCTCATCACATATCATCGAAAAATTTTTTCTTTAAATATTGTAGAATCCCTTAATTTTGTTAGAGGAAAACCTTCATATAATTCTCAACACACACTCAAATCCCCTGTGCTAATCAGCTCAGCATGAAAAAATGATTTTCACATTAACAGATTGTTTAATGTCCTCAAGGCCTATAGGCTAAATGTTTGATGTTTTGAGGAGACTTTGCTTTCAGGGTAGTTGAAACTTTCCAATTTCCTTCTTAGAGCAAATTTCCAGTGACTTGAAAGTTTTTTCTCCTCTAATAAATATCTACATACACACACACACACACACAAACACACACACAAACAAAACACTCCTCTAACTTCACTCAGCTTACATATTCTGGTGGGGAAGGTCAAGGAATGTTTTTAAAAAGAAAAGAAGGCAAAAGGTGTAGTACATTGTAATCATAAGCAGTCAGTAAGTGTGTGGTTGTTATTATTATCGGCAGTGATGTCGTGGTTATTTTAGCATGTGCCATGTAGTTAGCCTACATAAAATTATTAGTTAATTATCATGTCAGCTCTCTGAGATAGTTACTGGAATCTTCGATTCACAGGGAGAACTCAAAGGCATGTCTAGTTATGGGACTTGGCAGAAGTCTTTACTAGCAGCAGCACAGATGTGAGTCCAGTCCCGTTTGACTCATAATCTGTCAGCTCCACTCCATGCTCCTGGAAGCCAGTATGACTAGACTTCAGCACAGCTGCATCCAGCTTGAAATGCTGAAGTCCAGCCTAGAGGGTTCTCCATCCAGAGACACTAAGGAAGAAACGTGTGCCCTCTTGGATGACAGAAAACAGTAAACATTACTTCTGCTGCCCTTTCTAAATCCAATGTCCCTCAGTCTATGCTAACAGATCTGGCCTAATTCCTATCTAATTTATGACTGCGATAGAGCCCATCTATGATCTTGACTTCGGATCCAAAGTCTTGATCCCCTGATATTTGAAGGATTTAAGTTGCATGGATAATGACTACTTTGTCCTTACTTCTTTACAATTAAAACTATTGGAAAGCCAAAGGGGACGATAAACAAAATAATGTTAATATTATGTAATTTTTCATTGCAGAAATCCTAGATCTGCATCAGATTTCAAGGGAGCTTTGGGGAAACATCAAGATGACACCCTGAGGGGGTCACCAGTGAAAATCACCCTGTTCTCAGAAGATGTGGAGCCCTGCAATGCCCCTCACCTGCCTGCATTTTGTAAGTTTGCCTGTTATTTTCCCACTTCTCACTCATTTCTCTAGGTACTTCCTTGTGAAGGCTTTCACACTGCAGAAGCGAGGGAGATCTTACCTCCTGATGTCTCTGGAACCGAGAATGAATAGTGTGCAGCTTTAAACACAGGGCTGAAGTCGTTGGCGGGAGCGAGCTCCACAATGACTGTCACAGTAACTGGAAAAATGAATGGTGCATAAGTGCTTTGTTATTTGTGTTTCATTCTACAAACAAGCTGAGTGGCCCTCAAAGTACAGAATTAGCGAGGATTTTGAAACAATCGGCTGTTTCTGTCTCCAAATGATCCTCATTCCCAGGCTCTGTGTGCTAAAGAAGCCAGGTGAGTTGTAGTACTAACCAAAGCACTGCAGTCAAAAATATATAATGTGCTCCATCTCACATAATGGAGACACTCAGGTTCCCGTACCCGTACACAGCATATATAAATGTGCACGTGTGTATTTTACACAGGAGGGTTTACTATAGCTTCACAGGTGCACTCTCCTCCGTTACAGCTGTTGGGGTGCTGCTCTCAACTCAGCACTTTTACCACCCTAGGTTCTGCTTCCAGTGTCTGTCCTGGGAGGTGAAATGAGAAAGACTAGAAAACCCATGCCCGGTGCTGGGCTGCAGCATACACTCTGTGGTCTTTACTGGTTTAGCTTCTCAGTTATGTCATCAAGAAGGAATAACATCAGCTTCAATCTCCTACATCCCATGTACATGTGAGGTCAAAATGAGCCTATGCCCCAAGAAGATTTACAAACTATAAAACGTTGAGTAAAAAGTAGTCATTGCCACCGGGCCTGCCTCACAACCACAAGGTCCTGAGTTCGATCCCTGGTACAAAAAAAAAAGCACTCATTGCATCTGATTCACCTCAGCCTGATTTTTGTATATTGTATGTTATGGAGAAGGAAAAAGACTGCAGTGGCACATTGAGGAGTTGTGAAAAGATAGGAGTTTAACATTCAAAGTTATGGCAAGCAATTTGTACATGGGGAACCTTTTTTATTGGTACAGGGGAAAATTTTTAATAAAATTGAAATAATAATTAACATTCACTGTGCAAGACACTGACTTGACATTGGTATTATCCCAATTTCACAGATGAGAAAGTAAAGTTCAAAGAATTGTTTGTGGCCAAAGTCACAAAGCTAATAAGTCACTAAGTGGTTATTGGACCAACCTGTATCTGAGTAAACCCCAAAATATCTTCTCTAAGATGGGAGTATGTCAAATACAAAATACTAAGTTAAATAAAGATTGAAAGTTTATTTATGGTAAGACTTGCTAGGGTATCTAATATAACACTACCTATTTTGAATCTCTGGGTGTGTATTGCTCCCCAAGCTCATTTGATCATGAAATTCTCCTTTTGTAAGTTATCTTGTAGAACTCACATTCTGAAGAATGCTGTGTATTGCTGGTCGTGAAAAATCTATGCCATGCATATCAAACAAGAAAATTTGACCTGAGATCTGTAGAACCCTTATTTCAGAGAATCTGCAGCATTCTTTATATTTTGGCATATGTTATTATCTGCATTTTTCAAAGGACAGCGTCTACATCTTTCATCAGAGTCTCAAAGGTCCCCACGATTCCCCAAAATGTTTAAAGAGTGCTGCGGCTCTACAGTGGCAAGTGATTTATGTTAAAGGCTGCGTAACTCTTTCAATAAATTCCATTTACACGAGGGAAGACAGGTACCATTTACAGCTCTGCTGTGTTGTGATTTTTATTGTATCCATAAAGACCCAAAATTGTGCTAATTAGCTGGCCTACAAAAAGAGACTAAAGCACAGATGCAGCACTACGAGCACCCTTCATGAGCAGTGGCTGTGAATGCAGCAGCATGTGAGGACCAGAGAGGACGCTAATTTATTACTGCGAGAGGTGTTTCTCACTCTCCAGTTGGGGAAAGGCTCAAATTTGGTGAGAGGATCAGGGGAAGCAGCTGCAAGCAAAAGCATCCATCATAACAGGCCAGAGGCTGTGTCACAGGCCTCTGCACTAATGTCAAGTGAGGGAGCGCACATCTTGTCATGACTGTGCTGGGCTCCTGCTTCCTGCATGTCACTGCTCCACGCAGTTGGATCCTTTGACTACAAATAACCCTGCTATGCCTAGCACCATTAAAAGTCCTATGTCGGTGAGTCAAGAGAGATGGGAAGAGACTTAGGCATGTTGATTAAAGTTTAGCAGTAAGTTCCTCTGGCTGTAAACCTATGGACACATCCACAATCTGACCTTTCCGTATCCATGGAAGACAAAACACTCCAGCCCTGCGCTCAGATCCAACCTCAGAATCCTTCTCAACATAGGCAACTGCCAGCAGCAATGCAGAGTCTGAACAGGAAACCCAAATACCACCGTACTCTAGGCTCTCCCTACCAAACCTTTTGCTGATCCTGTATTGGCCACCTAATACCCACCCTTCTATGATGTCTCTAATGCCAACCACCTGCTGGATCACTTGTACTTTCTATGCACCACACATTCTAAGTGCTAGAGACACTTGACATTAATGATAGGTGAAACCTGAAATTTTTGAGAATCTCTATTTTCATAAAAAATCTCCATAACCAACAAATTCACTCTTAAAACTGTAACATGAAGTTGAATATGTAATAACCACTTCAGGTACATAATTTGTGTTCTAATGTGCATCACAATAAACAAAGAAAAGCAGGCATTGGGCAGCTAGCTAAATTCACTCATTTTTTAAGTTCTATGCTCTGGATCTGTAGCACACAATTAAGATACATACTGAAAATGACAAGTGCTTTGCAATTAGCAAAACTATGTTAAATCTACAAATGCAAAGGGCTTTATAATCATGCAGTCTCAGTGGACCAAATCTCACTACACCAAAGGCCCTTTCTACCATAGGCTGACCCCAAATGGTGGGGCATTATGAGAAGACCCTATGGAGGGGAGGACCGTGCTCTGCACCTTGAGAATGGGTATGAGCTACAGAACCAGGCAAGTCATATCTGTGTCATGTAAAATGGTTCAAATAACGTATTCCTAAAGCATCCAATAACAGGCATTTAGCAGTATTAAAATAAAGGCATTAAGCATATGATTTGGGTCTGTATATCCATTACTCCTTCTAACTCCAAAGATCTCTCTCAAGAGCTGTGTTTAAGAATTATGTTTTGTTTAAGTTGCTAACATGTGAAAAGGGCTTCCCAGATCTAACGAAAACTTCCAGTAAAAGCCTACCTACTTCTCCCCTTCATCTTTTGCCCAATTTAGCAAAATGTCCCAAATATGATGGATACTTACATTTCAAAACTTACAGTGAACAACGCAAAGAATAGGCTATTACTCTCCTTGAGCCGTTTGTCAAGATTACCTGTATGGGAGGGATGAAGGTCATCAAACACTGAAATCGTCATTTCATAAGTATGGCCCACAGCAACCACCTCTGGGTCTTCGTAATCCAGCTCTTTGGTGACCTTGTAGAGAACATTGTTTCAGCAAAAGGAGCAAAAAAACCATTTTTTTGAGACCTGGTCTTTCTGTGTGATTCAGGCTGGCCTTGAACTCATGGTGATCCTCCTGCCTCAGCCTCCTGAGAGCTGGGATCACAGATATGTGCCACCACGCCTGACAGAACCAAATTTTTTAAGGTACGTTTTAATAAATCATCCTGGAAGAGGCAAACGCATAGCTATTTGCATTTCTTAGGGGTGACATCAGAGTCTGCCGGAGACTGGTGCAGGTTTGCACACAAAGCGTGCCTTTTGGTGGAACAAAGGGGCGTCAGGGTTCCAGTGTAGCTTTCTTGTGGAAAAACATCCTGGCACAGCAGAAGAAAAATATAGGCCATACCCTGTCCTCATTGCATGCTAGTAGTTTTGTCCTGGAAAAAATATTTTAAGATAAAATATTTTGAATGTTAGGTATATAAATACTATTTTTGAAGTACTATAAAATACTATAAAAGTATTATAAAGTACTATAAAAATGTAATTTATTCCAAATATGATAAGTTACCATTTCAAAAATATATACTGGGGATTAACTAGATGCCAGTGACACTTGTACCAAGGAAATAGGGTAAATAAGATAGTCCCATATCAGAGACTTGAAGGCAGAGGTAATTTAAAAGCACTAGTGTAAATTTCAGTCCATGTAAGTTGGAATGACTCAAAATGGCACCAGGTATCCAGATGTTGGAACAGCTGCATTTTTAAAATTTAGTGTATGAGTCCATCATCCATTCATTAAAGCACTCTGAGCTCCACTATGCACCAACCTGTACAGTAGATCTTATGAAGCACTGCACGTCTTACATCTGCGAACCTTACAGCTAATAAGATCAATAACTAAACAGCTAAAACAGAGGGTCATAAGTGTTTTGATATGGGATATACAACCTATAGTGTGAGCCCTTAGCAGAAAAACTAAGCCAGTCAGAGTGCTTTAAAAAATCTCTTGAGAATAAGTGACATTTCATATCTAAGGCATGGTTACTCAAACCCAGAGATTACTTAGAGGTGGGTAATTGACAGAGGTGCTATTCAGACACTGAGCAAGCATGTGCACAAGCCCAGAGCTCAGTTAGCATCATGTTCACAAAACTTCCATCTCCCTCCAAACTCCACTTTCTAAAATGACAGTTTGGTCTTGCATTGCAAAGAGAACAGAAACCCAAGAGCTGAAGCTTCCAAAATTTGTAATATATGCAAAAACTCAACTTGCGGCCTGTGGAGCTTGTCAAGAAAATTTGGGGTTAGGATCAAACAAAGAAAACAGTCAGTAGCCTTCACAGGCATATTTTCAAGCAAAGGGCAGGGGTGGGCGGACATTTGATATCTGGGTTAAGGAACAATTTTCCAGCATCTCGGGGGTTGGCCCTTTGAAATAAAGACCTACGGAACTTTGGAGTTTGAAGGGAGAATCACATGCTGAGAAAGAAAAACAAAACCTACATTAACACTTCACCAGTGGAAGGTTTAGAATCTCAAGAGGGGTTAGAGGAGCTGATCAACCACTCCCAGTGCCAAGAGAATATGCCATTGTCCCACATAGCAATACAACCACACACTTATCTCTAAGGAAATCAGTGTGGTGTTTAGCCTCGGATTTCCCCAGCTAAATAGGAAGTAAATTATTTTGTACTCATTATAAAAAGGAGAAAATGATTGCAGGCAGCAAGATAATGAGGGACAAGACATCTTCCGGGAGGACTCCAGGGGAGCCCAGCATTCTCTTTGGCTGCGTCCAAGCCTTCCTTTCTGCATCTGCCAGTGCCTTCCCAATGGTGGCCGTGACATTTGTCCATCTCCTTGGGAAAGCTGCACGGACTGGCAGCCACTGCTGCTCACCCGGATGACGTTTTCAGCATTTGGTGCTTGTTCAAAGATTTGTCCAGAACCAACTGGTCCCAAGCTTGGAACATAGTGGATTGTATCAGGAGGGTCGTCAAGGTCACGACACGAGAGCTTTGCCACTACTGTGTCTTCTACAATCATCTCTCTGCCTGTGTACCTGTTTCATTGTTCAAGAACAAAAATCACTGTAGACTGACATTCTTTTAAAACTGAATGCTTTTCCCACAAACGTCCATGAATTTGGATATTGCAGTGCCTAGGTATGGATGTCCTGCTCATCCTGCAGGAAAGAAATCAGCCTGGAGCATCATCAGGATAACTGTTTCCCAACAGGTTCTGAGACCCTGGCAAGGCCATCCTCCTTTTCTGGAGTGTTCCTTCTGCTCTGCACCCAGTGGGGCACTTGCTTAGGGCGGGAATCAGTCAAGGCCACCACCTCAGCGAAGGGGCCCAAGGCAGAAATCAGACCATTTGGGACTGCCCCAACCTGGGGCAGGTGGACGACATGGCCAAGAGTCAGCCCTTCCCATTCCGTAGTCAGTGGCCTCATTGTCCTCTCTGCATATCCACCCCTCCACTGAGATCTTGGTGCCCCAGATGCTGGATCCTCAGCCTTCAGCATCTACAGCCTATGTAATCCTCGAAGATTAATAGAGTTACCAGCCTTTAGGAAGCTTCCCTAACCACCCCAGGCCCATGTGTTTTCCTCTTAACACTTAAAGCACCACACCCAGGACCTAAGATCATGATATTTTGTGGTCTGTGGTGTGTGGTGTGTGTGTGTGTGTGTGTGTGTGTGTGTGTGTGTGTGTGATGTGTCTTGCTGTTGTTTTATTGTATATGTATTCCTGCTGTCATCCTAACAAGATACAACCTCCTTACAGCAAAACGAGCATAACAAGTACTCAGGCTGCCTCCTCCCAGACCTTGGTACTCCCTGCACCATGTGATGCATGTGTGCTTCGTTAATTAACTGTGATCTTTTTGATGGAATAAGGAGAAAATTTTGGAGAAGAGGAATAGGGGAGCAGAAGAAAGGATAACAAATTCCAAGCACAGATGGTACCTGATTCTTACAACAAGGCCATGCCTAGGTATAATTGTCATCTCTATTTGAAAGGTAGCTGGCTCCCAATTGAGACCACATGGGTAGTAACTAGCAGAGCCACATGTTATTAAATGGGATAAATGAGAATAATGCTTAGGGAGTAAGGGGCAGCTGTCCTAGGAGGAAGAGACTGGAGAGGAGACATAGAAGAGTAACAGAGAAGTAGCTGGAAAGACTGCACATCAAATAATAAAAGTACCCACACTGAGGGTGATACAAACCTACCATCCTTCATCTGGACTCCAAAGCCCAAAACAGAAACTCACATTTTTCTCATCACTTATCTGACCTTGCAACCTGACCTGACCTGAAATACTTTACATCAAAACTTTACCTGAACAGTCAGCCCTGGATCTGACCCACTGAGAGTGAGCAGTCCCTGCAGATCTGACTTGGGGTTCCACTCGGGTCCCACTGGGAAAGGTGCAAATATATAAGATTCGCAATGTTTTACCCCCTCTAAATTCAGAAGGGTAAATCTTTATCCTGAAACATACACAGCGCCAAAGGATTCAGATAACAGATAATGGAACTGTGATAAACCACATATACAAAACATCCACTCAGCCCTGGCACATAAATCAACCCATTTATTCTTCACAACTATCCCACTGAGCACTATTGTTAACTCATTTTATAAAGAAAAACTGGAGATCAGGGGGCATAAGTAAGTTACCCAAGGCCACACAGTTAGTAAGGGACAGAACGGGGATTCTAAGCCAGGGCCATGATTCCAGACTTCATACTTTTACCTCTTACCATCAGGTCTTGGAAACCTGGGACCGTGTTTTGAGGCAGAACAAGAGCGAAGAGTCAATTTGATGATCAACCTCGTGTCCGGTTGGGCCAGTAAACAACAGGAGCCAATACCTCCTCCCTCAACCAACCCCGAATCTCCACCCCCACCCACCCGTCTCAGCTCACCTAATCACATACTGGTCGCAGAAAGGCGAGTTGTCATTAAGGCCATGAATGTAGGCGGTCACGGGAACTGCTGCACACCGCTGGTCACGGTCACAAGCCTTAATGGAGAAGGACTGGGCCCTCGCAAACCCAGCTCTCTCTGCGTCCAGGCGAGTGGCAGTGACCACGGTCCCACGCTCTGTAACAAAGCACGCCTTGCTCAAACTGGCCCAGGCTGTTGCTTCCAAAATTACTTTATTGCATATGTAGCTATCAAAAAAGTGAACTTGGAATTGGGCCCCACTCACTAGAAGTAAGGAGCTGTTTCAAAGCATAGGCATGGCATTTCACTACTGATCCCCCAAATACACTATTGATCATATCGTGTAAGGTGGTAGCAGAAACAGAATTGATCTTGACCTGAGGGATCAGAGAAGACTGTAAAAGAGGCCCTGTTTGAGGCTTTGGAGCATGTGCAGCCTACGGAAGTGGTAATGTGGGCTCATTCTCAACAGAGCACACTGCTGGATCCCAGGGCTCAGACTTCCGTCCTCAGTCCGTTGCCTAAAAGAGCTGGTAAGTGAATCTGTGCCGTAATTCACGTAAGACGGATGGTGGCCCTCGTGGGTGGGGCTCTCCCAGAGCCAGAATCTGGGCTGAGGATCTGTGTGTGGTGATCCAGGGCAGAGTGAGACTAAGAAGAGAATCCCCAAGAAGCTCACTGCCCAGTGAGTTTCCTCTGTAGAGCTAGAGCCTTGCATCTTGGGGTACCTGGGCCCCAGTGTAGAACAGATGCTCAAAGAAGTTCCTGCCAGGGGCAAAGAGCTGGAGTATTTACACACCAACTCCGATCGCTGGCCCAGAGCTCCTGATGGGCAGCCATCAGACTGCAGGTAACACCTCAGGCAAAGAAATGCTGACCCTGATGGGTGGAGTCAGGCTGGCTGCCCTGAACTGTTACAGCCCAAGGGGACCGAGCATGACCGTGACAGTATCTGGAGCACTGGGTAAACCTGCATCTGTGCTGGCTGTGACCACTTAGCCTCAGAAGAAGCCTCAGATACCACACTCAGACCCACTCAGGAATAAACGACTGGCTCCACAAAGTCCAATCTGATTCTCTCACAAAAGTGTAGGCCTGAAGCAAAGAAAGAGTTGAATTAGGTCTGAGAGGAACTAGAAGGGTAGGTGAAGTAGAGAGCTAAAACCACCCATTTTGTAGCAATCACAGGAGCCACTTGCAAGGTCATGGGTGAACAAAGAAATTGACCTTGCAGAGTTATGGGACAGACTGCTGTGAAGTGTCTAGCATGTGCTCCATGTTGGGGTCTTGGACATCAAGAAACAGTCTGCACATGGCAAATAAACATATGAAAAAATGTCCAACCTCACTGGTCATTCGAGAGATGCAGATGAAAACAACACTGAGATTCCACCTCACCCCAGAAAGAATGGCTGCTGTCATGAAATCAACCAATAACAAATGCTGGCGGGGCCGTGGGGAAAGAGGAACCCTGCTCCACTGCTGGTGGGAGTGTAGACTGGTGCAACCACTGTGGAAATCAGTATGGAGATACCTCAAAGAACTAGGGCTGGAAGTCCCTTTTGACCCCGCTATTCCCCTGCTGGGTATCTTCCCCAAAGAATTAAAAGAATCATACCACAGTGATATATGTGCACCTATGTTCACAGCAGCACAGTTTGTAACAGCTAAAACTTGGAAACAGCCCAAATGCCCATCAACTGGAGACTGGATAAAGAAAATGTGTTTTTTATAAAATGGAGTACTACTCAGCCATCAAAAATGAGAAATTAGAGACATTTATTGCTAAATGGATGCACATTGAGATAATACTCTTCAGTAAAATAAACAGGACACACACGTGTAAATACTGAATAGTTTCTCTAGTGTGAGAAACTGAAAGTGTATATAAGGACTAAAAGGTATAATAGATAATGTGAAATAGGAAGAAAAGGGGCAAAGGGGAGGGGGAAGTTGGAGGGGTAGGGGAAAGGATAGAAGGGAATGGGATTAATATGAGAAAATGAAAAAAAATGGAAACAAAGTCTTTGTAAATAGGGAGGGATGGAGGGGTTTTAGGGAGGGCAGGGGAAGGGGAAAAATAAGAACCAAGACAGTATGTAAAGGTGCAAATTTCCAATGATGAATGTCATTATGTTGTACACCTAAAATGTACCAATAAAAGGAAAAAAAAGAAAGAAACAGTCTGCAGAGGAGATATGCATATAAATCTATGATTGCAACACCATGTGAAAAAACAGCCAATTTGCGGAGAACAAGTTTCAGCCTACCTTTATCGACTGCAAAGTAAACATTCCCAGGATCAAGTTCAAAGGTTAAATCTCCCAAGCAATCTTCATCATTTGCCTGGCACGTTCCAATCGTTTTCCCGACTGGGATTTCTTCATCCAGCGTGAGGTCCACTTTGTTGTGCAGAGTTGAGTTTACAGATGCAACACTCAAGACAGCGTTCTCAATGTTGAACAAACTTGTTTAAAAAGCAAGCACTGTTAGTGTTATTTGCTTGCTGTCTTTTCTACACTTTATGGTGGTATAGAAAATAATTTATTTAGTTTCTGAGTAAGGTAGCTAGCTAGTAGAAATAGAGTGGGGTACCAGCCATGTTGATAAAAATTAAGAATAGACAGTGATCTAGGGCTTTGAACAAAGAATGAATTTCCTCAGGCAGCATGGCATGCACCCCAGCCCCTACTAAGGAAAGGTGCAGCCACTCCTTACTAAGACCCTAATGTCCAGAAAGTTATAATGCAAATTAACCAGTTCTTCCTGAGACCCCAGTTTCCTGTCAACCCTAGGTCTCTGAGAACTGGGTTCGAATCTGAGTCCCAGTTCATCATCTTAAATCCACAGAGCCACCTGTGACAGGTGACCACTAAACAGCATCTTGTGCTCCACTTATCTACAATTAGCTCTAGATCAGGGGGCCATGTGGCCACCCCATTTGGGGCCCCTCCTAGAAACCCAGGAGCTGTTCTCCTTCCTAACTTCTTTCTTTGGCTCAAGACTTCATTCCTGGGTGTTTGTGTCCAGGTTATCATCTATTGGCTTTGAAGTAGTGGGTTGAGGTAACAGTGACAAAAATGGAAAAATAACATTAACAATAATATAAGTAGCTAACCAATTTATTGAGCACTTACTTACAGTCAAAAGTCTGTGTTCTCCCATTTATTCCTCAGAGCAGCCCTAGGAAGAATGTACCTTTTTTGTCCCCATCTTACAGGTGTGGAAACTGAGAATTTAAGAAATTAAATAACTTTCAGAAGTAAATATCAAGGCAGCAGAGAGAGGATTTGACCCCAAGACTGTTTTGCTCTACAACCTATTCCTCGATGACAGCATTCTTTTTCCTCTGTGGTAGAAAGCAGCCTCCCAGAATTGCTGATGCTCAACATGGTTTCATCAACCCCCTGGTGACGACATTGGACAGGCTCCCAGGGGGGCAGTGAGAGGGTGACCGGCACTCGACTCCAGGAACATACCACCCTAAATCACCTCGCTATTGTGTTTTCAGACATCTGAAGTGGTTGTTTGCACCTTACATGCTTACTTCCCTTCTCACAAAAAAAGCAAAGGAAGAAGAAAGAAAAAAGGCTACATTTTCAAATTTGATTTTTAAGGTTAAACTAAAATCATGTGCTTTATGTTTTATTTCCTTACCTGCAGGTCAGAGTGGGATCCTTATTGTTGATATTGATGAGGAAAATCTTCAGATTTCCAGTGGCGAACAGTCCTCCGGGGTCAACCGCTTTAACAACCAGTGAAAAACTAAAAGTACAGCCACAAGGAAGAGCTAAGATTGTGTGGTCACCACAGGCTTTGTCAGAAACCCCGCCCCTGGGCTGAACCTACTGGTTCCAGTAATGGATTCATCTGGGAGAATGTCTGTCGAGCCAGTTATTTCAGCTGCTGGAAATGGCTAACGCTTTGTTAAAAAGCAAATTAGTCATGTCAGTTGGAAGGACAGGCTGGGACTTAGAAGAGTCTGCTATTATTGTTGAAAACAGGCAAGTGCGAAGGCAAAGATGTTAAGAATATTTTAAAACCACTGCACGTGAATAACTGGGCCATCCTGGGACGCTGGTGACCAATGGTTTTATTTCAGCAGAGTTGTGATGGGTTTGAGGACGAAGGGTGATGAAATGGGGAAAGCGGATGTCTCTTCCCAGTGAATGGTCACCGGTCTGGCCACACGGTGCTCTCTGGGACCGCTCCAAACTTACCAGGCACCGTCCTGGCTAAAGCAGCGCTGAAGTCACACATGCCAGGAGGCCCAGCCCGGGGAAGCCGACACAGTCGGTCAGCTCATCAGCGAAAAGTCCCATTTCAACTCACAAATTCAAATATGCTAATGATTACCCCAAAACGGCCGTTTTCCTTCTAATAATGCTAAAAAACAAGTTTTCAATTTTCCTCTTATTTCATGACTTCTCCTACAAGAAGTTAATTATTTAGGAGACATACTGTTGACGAAAACCACCAAGTCAATCCGCTTTTAGGGATAAAGGTATTTTTTTTAAATGACTGGGAAGACTTGAGTATACAGAGGAGGGCAGTGGGCCCAGCACAGTCCTGTCTGGCATGGCAGCTGGGACACGGACGCAGGAGCCTTCCTAGCTCGGTCGCAGCTTTTGGACAGAGATGCCACGGCTCCTGGGTGTCCTCCTGAGGCAGGAGGCTGAGAAGAGTCACTGAGGCAGAGTCCAAAGCGTCCTTCAGTCTCGCTTCAGCTCTGCTCGGTGGCCCTGGAAGACCGAGCTAGGAAGGAAACTGAGGAACAGCGGCGCACTGCTGAGCTCCGGCAAACGCTCTTCATTCTAATTTGCAACCCGGTCTTCCATTCCCAGTATCAGTTCCCCAGATTCAAGGATTCTAACAAAAGGGACAGCTTTGATTTTCACTTATGAAGAAAGAAGTTCACCTCTTAAACTCTTACTAGTGTCTTTTTCTTCCATTTGTGAACAGATCGTAAGATTTATAAACGTCTCAGATGTCCATGATCCTTGTTCCATGAGGTATAGGCCATAAGGAAAATTAAATGGGAAGCGCGGGGTGCGCCAGCCTAGGGCAGAGGCGGGAGAGCTGAGGTAGCCATGAGTGGGCTCCACCGACTCTCCTGGAGGGGTGAGCCCCGGAGCCGGGCCGCCTGGAGGAGCTGGCTGAGCCGGGTCGGGGAGACCGCTGCTCCGGGCCAGGGGAGAGGCAGGCTCAGGGCCGGCCGGGCTGCATGACCTGGCCCGCAGTGGGGCTCGGCTCAGTGCTGGTGCCAGAGGGCCTCGTCCTGCTGCCTTGTAGCGTTGTAGAGGCGTCTTGTTCCCTTTGCCCTTATTCCCAAGGCCACAGAAAGAGCTCAGGCCCCAGGGCACACCGACTTGAGACAGTGGGGCCTGCTGGATCCCCCTGCTCGGGCAGGGGAACGGGTTTGCAGCTGCCTTCACCAGCCCTTTCCTAAGCCCTGAGGCGTACCCTGTGCTGAGCAGCAGAGAGCTAAAGAGAAGAAGCAAGATGGCTTCGGGAAGCTCAGGTCTGGAGGGGGAAGACAAGCAGAGACAGGCGTTTACAGTGTAGCTCGGCAGCTCCAGTGAGCCAGTGCTCGAGGAAAACCAGGGCGAGACGGAAGTGGAAGGGGGCTTGGAGTGGTTGGTTCAGAAGACGCAGCTTCCAGGGGAGCAGCGACAGCCTTCAGTACACAGGCAGGGGAGCTTGTGAGGTATTGAGGGAAGAGACTTGTGTGTGTGTGTCAGTGTGATGTTAATGAATGGGGAGAGAGGAGTCAAGGGAGAGCAGGGATGGGGAGGTGAAAGGCCCATCTCTCTGAGAAGCGTTGGATTTTAAACAGGGTGTGGAGGCACAGGTGTGTGATCTGGCCACGTGGGAGGCTGAGACTCTGCAAGACTGTGTGAAAAATCAAACGGAAAAACAAAGTTTTGGATTTTGTCGTGTAGGCAAGAGATTATTGAAGAGTTTAAGCAGGCTAGGGCTAGCAGGCTTTTATTTGAAAAAATGACTGTCAAAGTATGGAAAATGAAGGGAGGACTTGATATCAGAAAATTTTCTCCAGCGCCTTGCTCTTCATTTAGTTTGGTCTGTGGAGGGAGGACCTTTGGCATCTCCTAGGACTGCAGATGGAACAGTGTTGTCAAAAAGTGACTCAAGGGCTGGGGACTTAGCTCAGTGGTGCCGCCGCCTGCCACACAAATGCGAGGTCCCGAGTTTGATCCCCGGTACCAAAAAAAAAAAAGTGACTGGAAATGCCCAAAAGGCAGCTGGGAACACCAGGAAGAATGTTGGCTTTCAAAGTCATACTCCCACATTTTGATTCCTGCTTTATCTGTTGCTAATTGTGGTTTTAGACAAAACATTTAACGCCTTTGTGCTGTTTTCCTATTTGGAAAGCAAAGATAGTATATTTGTGGTAGAGATCCACTTGTAGATTAGCGATAAGACAGGTGTCTAGCACACTGTCCTCTCAGTGATGGGTGGCCAATATTTTTCTTCACACCCTATTTGGGCCTGCTCCACTGGACTCCTCAGGAAAGAAGGACAAGGGACCAACTCCCAAGGAAGCAATACAGAGACTGAGGGAGACAGAGAAGATATTGATCAAGAAACAGGAGTTTCTGGAGCAGAAGATTCCACAGGAGCTACAGACAGCCAAGAGGCATGGGACCAAGAATAATAGAGGTAAAGGGGGACAGGAGCCCCTGGTAATGAGGGAAAGGAGCCCCTGGAGAGGGCCCAGGGCTGAAGCAGGTCTTCTGACTCTGCTGCTCAGATCAGGGTGTGGGCTGGGTCAGCCGCCCTGCAGGCTTTGCGGAGAAAGAAAAGATTGGAACAACAGCTGGCACAAACTGATGGGACGCTGTCCACCCTGGAGTTTCAGCATGAGGCCACTGAGAATGCCACCACCAGGACAGATGTGCTTCGTACTGTGGAGCTTGCAGCCCAAGGCATGAAGAAAGCTACCAGGACATGAACATTGACAAGGTGGGTGAACTGGTGGCCGATATCACGGAACAGCAGGATGTGGCCCAGCGGGTCTCAGAGGCGAGTTCTTGGCCTCTGGGTTTTGGAGATGACATCGATGAGGTGACTCCGTCAAGGCTTCAGGGATACTGAAGAAAGGATCGGACTGGCAGGAGGAATGTTGAGGACAAGTCTGTTTTGGGAACTGGACATTTCCTGTCTTGGTCTTCACAGTTTTGTCAACTAGGATGAGTTGTTGGAAGAGCTGGAGGAGTTGGAGCAGGAGGAATTGGCCCAGGAGTTGTTAAGCGTGGGTGACAAGGAAGAAAACCCCCCCGTCCGATTGCCTATTGTACCTTCCACTCAGCTGCCTGCAGAGCCAAGTACCTAGGGCTGCTCACTGTCCTGAGGCCTTGAGAAGGTTGGAAAAGATTTGGGATAAAATTATTCCCCACTCATCCTGGCACAGAAGATCCAGGCAGAAGGCGCGCTGTAGTCATGCAGGTTGTTGACTGCATAATGGCTTGGGACTAAATGGAGCAGGGCAGAAATCCAGACTTCAGCCTGCGCTCCACACAGCAACCTGCACAGCCTGTTTTAGGGCTGCGGATGTATGAAGAGAGGCACCTTTCTAATTTGCACAAAGGTGCAGCAAACCAGCATGCAGAAGGCCTTTTAGGTTGTTTGCCGGAGAGACAATTCTAGCAGGCTGTGGATGTCAGAGCAGGGTATAGCTGGAAACTTCTGAGGCATTAACACTTCTTTTTTTTTTTTTGGTACTGGGAATTGAACTCAGGTCCTTGCACTTGCGCAGCAGGCAGCGAAACCACTGAGCTAAATCCCCAGCCCACATTAACACTTCTTTCTTCTCTGGGTGTCCTTTCCCCAAAGCTCCCAAAGCAGATGAAGATGAAGAAGAACTGAAACGGTTGGCTGAGTGGGTAACCCGATGAGCCCGAGCTTCTCTTCCTACAGCTACTTGCATTGGTCCCTTTGCCTCAAGTGCCAAGTTCTGTGGTAAAAGCAGACAGCTCTTTGAGAAGCCCTGCTAAGGTGGTAGTGTGATCCTATCTGAGCAAGGAGCGTGTTGCCCTACCATCCCTGGGAAAAATCTTAAGAATCTTACTGCATAATGCACCCCTAGGCTCCTTTGTTTGACAGCAGTTACGGTGCCCTTGTTCCTAATAAAATTGGGTAGATGGGTAGAAGGGGGGGGAGGAAGGAAGGAAGAAAGAAAGAAAGAAAGAAAGAAAGAAAGAAAATTGAACTATGATGGACGTTAGTCAGTATTCCCAGAAGATCACGATTCAAAGAATTATTTGACACAGGGTAGAGAAGGGGGACCGAGAGAAAGTGAATGAAGACTTGGTGATTTCTGCCCTCAAATCATAGAAAGATAATACAGATCGAGGCACTCCTCTGCTGATTTTACAAGGCTGGGAAAAAAAAAAAAGAAAAAGCACATCTCTTCTCACGCTGTCCTCTGAATCGGTTTCGTGGAGAGGTGATTTCCCTGTCGTGTGAGCAGTGGTCTCCGTGAGGGCTTTGCTATTAACGTCCCTCTCCATCCTTGATTTGTAATAGAGAAGAACCTCTTAGACTCCGGAGCATTTGACTGGCATGTCTTAAAAATTCATTTCCTTCTCCTGTGAAGCTCTATGGTGCAAAACTTGTAACTGAAAAGGGTGGTCATAAAAATCATTATAAAAGTAACAATAGTAATTTGAACCAGTGGTCACGCACCTGGCAGATGTAGAGGAAATAAAGAGAAAGCGTCAGTGCGTTGCCACGTTAGAGAGGCTGATTCGTCCTGAATGTATCTGAGAGAAGTCCCCGCCCACTCCCATCGCAGTGCGAACGTCCCGGTGAGAGAATGGGAGGCCCCAGCAGCCAAGTCCAGCACCCACCAGCACTGGTAAGACGGCCGGTGAGTTCCGAGCTCGTCTGTAAGGCAGTGCCAAAAGGACCTTCATTCTGGGAGCACCAAGTCCAGAGGGGAGCAAGAGGGAGCTGGGAACCCAAGGACCCGCATTTCAAGCAAAACCCAGGAGCAGTGTTTACCTTCTAGTTTCACTCTCAAAATCGAACGCAGCTGTTGTGGAAATTGTTCCGGAGCTGTCGATTGCGAAGCCAGAGCCCTCCGGGGAGAGGAAGTACTGTTTATGAGACAAGAGGGAGAAAGCGGAATGTTGCGGAGACCAAGTTCAGTCCCGGGTAAGATTCCTCACTCTCCAAGAACCAAGCTTCAGGCCCTGCACTCGGCCGCCCACCCCTCCGGCCCATCCCTGAAGGAAGGCGACAAAGCGCCTGCCGATGATGTGAGTGGCGGATTACAGGCCACTCAGCTGACTGCGAGACAGACAACCTGCCCTTAACGATGACTGAGGCGAGTGTCACCCCCATCGCTCAGGTTCACACTGGGTCCACGGCTGGGCACAAAGAGAAGCCCCAGACAGAGAGACGCGGTGCGACGGGAACTGGGCAGACTTGCACGTCTGGTGAAGGTGAGGACGGGTGTTTCGCGTTAGGGATGTCGGGCTGCTGTAAAAGGAAAACCACTCAGTACGGGGAGGACATCTGTCCGCCTGATATTTGTATATGTGGACAATATTTTATTAAGTTGCTTGATTCTTCAGTGACTTTCACGCTTGCTACCTTTTAGTTATTCTGCTAAATGCTTCAAATGTGCTGTCCTTTGATTCTCATAATTCTGTATCATAGGAACTGATATTGTCCCATCTCAGACAGGGACACTGAGGCTTAGGAAATTCAAGTGACTGGCCCCAAGGCAGAGAGCTGAGCTGTTAGTCACTCTACATATTGTCTTCCTGCTCTCTCAGTTCTTGTCGAAGAGCGAAGATGAGGTCAGGGTTTTTAATGTAGGTGAATTGAGTGATTAGAAAAAGCCACGGCAAAAATCCATGAGAAGATTAATATCAGGAGTTAATTATACCAAGAGCTACTGACTTCATAATTGTGTACACTCCGAGACAATTTAATAGAGAAGATTAGACCCGGAAGGGGTTACAAAGCAACCTAAAAATCATTTGGAGAAATTAGTGACCTTTAAATGCATTGATTTTCTGATGAATCATCATGTTCAGATTAATTTTAATTCATTTCAACACAAATAAATAAGATGGAATTGATTTCTGCTGTTTCTGTAGTGCAATGTAGCATATTCGCTTTCAGGAATTGTGGGCAATCCATCATTTACTTACTTTTAGGGCAAATACAGGAATTGTGGTGACTGTTTTACAGGGGAAGAATGAATGATGCTTGGTAGATAAATCACCTGACAATACTCACAATCTCTAGGGCTGTTGTATATAAATATGATGTTGTTGTTTTTTGAAAAGACACCCATACTTATGTTTGTAGCCACTCAAAATTTTGAAATCAAAATTCAGTTTCAGTGTTACAAGTTGTCACCAATTGTTCGGAAATAATCCACATTGGAACGCTACATTTCATGCGGTTGAATTTTTCATAAAATGAAATACTCGTTTAAAACACCAATGGTGCTGGTATCAGCAACACTTGGCGATGTTTAGGGAAGGTTTGGGAGGGTGGCTGCTGGCCACCAGCAAAGCCAGCACTGGGAAGAGCCCGCCCAGTCCGGCAGTCCTGGGGTCCAGACACCAGCTCTCTACCGCCAGACAAGTAGAGCTGTTGTTGTGATGACTTTTCTGGATCCCACTTATCTGTAATGCCACCATCAAGTAGAAGGAACTACTTTGGCCATGAAATAATAACAGCAGCCCAGCCCGTTTGCACTGTGTGAGCAGATTGCAGGGAGGGTGGAGGCAGGAGAGCCCGTGGTCCTTCAGATGGACCTACTTCCAAGAATCCGCTTTGGTCCTTTCTCTGCACGGCCTCCCATGGCTGTCAGCTCTCAGAACTGCTTGGGAATTGGAAATGTCAGAACCCAAGCTTGAGGCCAACCACAGTGAGACGAATCACAAGCTCAGTGCTCTGAGCACAAAGGCTGCAGGAGTGCCCAGTGCCGCTGTGTTTTCAGGGGCAGCTTTCAACTGTGAAAGGCACTAGCTACGCTGAGCAGTGCTCAGCGTCTTTTGGGAGCTATCTCATGTGACTCTTCAGCTGATGCTATGACCTGGGTACTCTTCTTGCCTCCATCTTACAGGAGAGGGAGCTGAGGCTTACAGATGATAAAGAAATGGCCCAAGAAAGCATAGCTAGTGAGCATTAAGCCAAACTCAGACCCTAGACACCCAGGAGCATTATGTCACACTGCCCGTCTCATGGGAGATGTCTTCCCGAGGGAAAGTATGGCTTTCTAATATTAAAACATTACCATTTAATTGCTTTTTAAATGTCTTGGGTAGGGATTAAAGAATCTCGATGGATAAAAATACAGTTATAAAGCAGCTCAATGTTACTATTTATAGAGGGAAAGGAAGGGAAGGAAAAAGGAACAAAGGGAAGCAAAAAGGACAGCAAGGGGAAGACTGGCTAAAATATAGAACTGTGAGGAACTTAACATCTGAAGGTTGATCACCGAACAATGAACTAGGGTAGAAAACAAGAAAGAATAGCAAGAAAGGTAGGAGAAAAACCAAGAGTGTTTATTATCGCGAAGTAATATCAGATTAGCTAGTATTTCTTGAGTACCGTTTGCCAAGTGCTGTATGTGTCACCTCATTTAATCATAACAGCCCTCAGGCAGATCCTACTAATAATTCTGCTATACATTTAAAATTTGAGGTACACAGATGCAGCATGGCTTTACCAGGGTCACGGAGCCAGACAGGGACAAAGCCCACTTTGTAATGCAAGTGCTCAAACTGTGGACTGCTGCTGTGTTGGTCTGGTTTGGCAGTCCCACCCACGGGAATATTTTCTCAAGCAGAGTTAGTACGGGGTATGATTGGGGCTGATTTTTTTCAAATAACAAAATATTCTGTGATATTTTTAGAGCAAAAACACTGGCTGATCACTGATCATCTACAATCTACAAACCTTTTTATTGGAGAGATATACTTTTGAACTAAACAACAGATATAATTCTAGGCTAAACATTATCTACCTTAATGTATCCTTACAGTGTCATTGTGGGGCTATGCAGAAAGTCAAAGCACGTCACCTTGAACATTTTCTAAAGACGCATTCGCCCACGGAGAAGGTGAGCTTCCCCATGCCACCCTTGGTACCTTCCTCAGCAAGGAGTCACTGACTTACTTTCACTTGACAAGCAATAGGAGTCACTTTCTGTCTTGCACTCTTGGTGAACTCTTCTTAGAGTCCTGACCCTTTCTCATACAAAGCTCCTTACACTTCTAATACGCTGTCCAAATAGCCAGCTGAAGTTAGAGAACTTGTGTTGATATTTTGTGACTAATTTGATAGTTTGACTCAGTCAGTGCCCTTAGTTTTTAATGTATGGTTGGCGTTTCACTATCCTATATTTTTCAATTATTTGGTCTATTAAATCTAATCTAAATTGAAAATGACTTTTTGAACCCCCTTGTTTTAAATAAATAACAAATGAATTCCATATTGTTTGGTCCAGAAGTTACATAAATATTTTATAATAATATTTTTCCCTCACTTTTTAGTTGCAAGATAACTTGTTAGATGTTGGTCAACTATGTCAACACCACCCGTAGAATTATTATAATTACTGACACTATTGGAATTTTTTTAGTTATGTTTCCTTTTTCAAGTTCTATCATTTGTGTAATGTGAATAGTTCACAATAAGGAGACATCTTTTTTGCCTTTCTGTTTTATAACCCAAATGACATGCTAACGTTTTCCTCTCTGATATGCTAGCAGTTCCCCCTTTTTCAGTTTTCTCTTTTGCAGGTCTTGCGGCACATCCTTCCTAGTCATTCTCAGTGTCCCAAACCTGTCCATTTTGTATTATAAAAGAATATCACCAAGTTCTGGAGAAGCATAAGAATTGTATCTAATGTACTTGTAATAAGAGTTTTTATAGATTATAGCACCAAATTACAGGTTTCTTTTCACAAAATAAACACAAATTAGTAGAAGAAAATACCCAGAACGTATTATTAGATTTCCTCTGGAACAAACATCAAAGGGTGAATACAATGTTCTAGATAAAAGAAGTATGCAAAAGTAGTTGATATAAAAAAATAAACAGGGCTGGGGATTTAGCTCAGTGGTGCTGCCGCCTGCCTTGCAAGTGCAAGGTCCCGAGTTCAATCCCCGGTATAAATAAATAAATAAATAAATAGACATAGGAGTGTATCTGGTTGAAATGACATCTGTCCAAGCAACACTGGGGACAGCCAGTGCATAAATAAACTCGCTGCCCCGAGTGACCCTCAGGATAAACTGTTAAGTGGTTAAAAAAAGCTGGAGATATAGCTCTTTGTGAAGGGTCTGGGTTCAATCCTCAGTACTGCAAAAGTAAAGTAAAATAAAAATAAAACACCCAAAGACAATCTTCAACTGATGGGAGCAAAAGCACATGGAAGTTGGCTGGGAGTGGGATACATACCACACAAACATGGACAAAGGGACCCAAAGGGATCTGAGGAGAACAGATATTGTCCACTGTAGTCTCTGAAACTTTCTTTGTTATAGAAGCTGTTGCTGAATCATGCTGGAACACAGTTACTACATTTAGAAACCCATTACCTTACCTGTGAGCAACATTTAATTTTGTCCCATACTCTACTAATTTTGATTGCAACTGGGCTCCATTTCAACTCTAAATTGATTGGTTAGGGCTACCCTAAACATTGTATGGAGAAAAAAATGAGGTCAGGTTGGAGAAAGTCTGTGTTCAATTAGTGATGCCTGCTATGAGCAAGGCAGAAGACATCACAATTCAGTCAGGGAACTTTGAAATCTAAGGTACCATTAGAATGCCCAGACATCTTTTTAAAAATATTGATTCCTAGGCCTACTTCCAGAAATTCTGGTTTAATTGGTCTGAGGAAGGGCCCTGGCATATGTGATTGTGGGAAGAATCCCACATGATTCTATTGTTACAGTCAAAGTGATTAACCACAGCGACTTTCAGCATAAATTGCCATCCTATTTCTCAGCTGTCCTGGAAATGTTTTCAGAAATATCTTTAAAAACTGAAATACATCCTCCTAAAAATAAATATTTTCCTATAACTCCTCTCTCAGCCTCACAAAATTGTTGTGAAAGTGTAG